AAGTTAACTCTTAACATCTGCTGACAATTTTTAACTATTTGGAGAAAGTTTATCACAATTAAAAAACAGTTAAAAATTAAAATATTACTTTTAAGATTTTTTAAATATTATTTTTAAGATTTCATTTGAATACAATTTATTTTGTTTCTTTTAATCATGTTTAAAAATATTGAAAGCAAACAAAAAAAATTTCTATTAAGTGATACATTAAACAACAATAAACAAATTTAAAGTTTTATTTTCTGATTTTAAAAAAATAAGCTATAACTTTTTATCTATGCTTTTTTATAATTTTAAGATCAATTTGTTTTTTGAAACTATAAAGTTATAATGTATCTAAAAATGCATATATTTATCTAAATATTTGAAAAAAGGGACAAGTAACTAATACTCTTTATAATTATACATAATTTTAATTTCACTATCTATTAATCGTATTATAAAAACATGGAAGACCACTAAATATTATTCCAGTTTAATTTTATTACAGGTAAAAGTCAGATGAAATTTTAGTGTTTACTTATAACAACACTATTTAATAAATAAAAATATTTTCACAGTAAAATTTATGAGCACTAAATGAAAAACCCAATTTTTCCCAGGTTTTTTCAAATAAAACCCTATTTTCCCCGGGTTTTTTCAATAAAACCCAGGCAGGTTGGGTTTTTTCAAAAATCCCCGGGTTTTTTCAAACCCTGAAAATTAGTCAGAACAATAATTAATAAATGGATAATCACTAGGAAATATATATACCTTAAACTCACTTTAGTTCTATCCTTTTTGCTGAACTCATATTTCAGGCATTCTCACACTAACTGAAAGGCTAATCCAGATCAAAATCATGCTTTAATCTGCAGTCCTATTTTAAAAAAAGAGCACCACTGTCAATAATTAAGTTCTCAAATATATTTGACAATATACAAATTCCTTTTAAGAATACCAGTTAAATGCAGACCTAAATATGGGTAATACACATTTGTACACATAAGTAATTCTCCATAAAGAGTGATTTTTATGTCCCTAACCTTTACTCAATTTCTTTTTCTTATAATGTTTTTTTTAAAATTAAAGCCTCCCAATAGCACATTTTAAAAGCAATGAATTTATCAAAACTTAAATTATGACTAACAGCTAAATTTGAACGCGAATAGTGTCATTTATGACCCCTGCTCCTAATCTTTTAGTCAGGTATTCTAAGTAAATTTTAGATAAAAATTCGAAGTACAATAAATATACATTATGCATATTTTTTGTAGTTATATATTAAGGTTACTATATTTAATATTTTATATATAGTAAGATCACTATACTAAATACATTTTCTTTTAGTCTTTTCTTGTATTTTCACAATTCATAGGAAAAATACTTCACCTTAGTTTACATGTCAGTACTGTCCCTTAGTATAAATGTTACTAAATAGGTTCTGATTCTTTATATAAAAATGAATTACAATCAATTTTTTGAAGATAAATTAATGATTTTTAAATACAAATCAGCCTAAAAGTAAGAATATCTTTATTACATGTCACATTTTATATTTTATTTTACTTTTATAACTAAGCTTGTAATTTATCATTCATGACTCTTCTATAAACTAAAATTTAAAAAAACACATAATGAGGTTATAAACGTTAACTAGCATTAGTCAAAATATTATTTTTTAACAATTTATAACTATCCTTAAAAGCATTTTATGGTAGGATACAGAATCAACTATTAGTGAGACATTAACATTAAATGACAATTCTTATTTTTTTTAAACATAAAATATTTTTAAAATAAAAATAAATTTAAGAAACAAAAATTTAAACTATCAAGTAGTTCACTTATTTTTATTTTTAATCAATACACATAGTACGTTGCATTACGAATATAGTATTAGGTATGATCAATGATTTCAATTTGCACCACAGATATCTCATCAAGTTTTAATAATTATCTATACTACTGATGAAACTAAGGTAGAAACACAAGAAGCTCTGACGCATGATGATCTATAGATTCCAGGACATATTTAAAAAAATTAATGAGGATAAACAAATAAATTTTATTAGCAGGTTTCATAAAGGATTTTATTGGCCTTCAGCTCCAGATAAATAAGAAGTTCTGAGAAATAAAGGTTTATATAAAATAATTGATTCACTAAATTCAGTCTTAGGCAGGCATTACAAAACAGATTATTTTGAAATAATTACTGCAAATTATGTTACAAAAACAAAAATTACCAATTTTTCGTTCATAGTATATTATAAAACAACAATGTGAGTTAATTTTAAATGTTGTTTTGGATGATTTTTCAATTCTTTTCACTCGCATCTCCTTACAGTCACTACTGTCCCTCAATCACTGAAGTGTAAAACATTAAAAATATATTTATTACTTATAAAACACATAAATTTAAAATTTGAGAAAAATTCCAGCTCTTAATATATTAAGTATCGGAAGGCATTATGCATAAACTAAATTAATAAAATTAATTTTTTTATAGAAATTAAATATTTTAAACTAAATATGCAATGTTTTATTAAGATTCTGTAGTAAAATTTTGTAATATTATTTTGAACAATCAATTGAAAAGAATATATTTGTGCTAATATTTTGAAGGACCAATTGCTGAATGATTTTACATTGTCTAAATTTACTTCAAAAGAATTAACCCAACAAATAAAAAAAAATTATACTAAAGAGGACTGATTATTTTTTTTATCAACAATGGACAATCACAGTCAATTTTTTAAAAAATTTTAATGCATTCAGAATTCCTCAAAACTCTCAGTAAACACTTTATTACTTTCCTAAGAAGACTATTTCGTTATTTTTAATCAAAAAATGCTTACTTTGGTTTTCGCCTGAAACAGGAAGTCACGTGATTATTCACGAAGTGACGTCACACGTGTCCATCTGCCGTTCACTTACAATCGCTGTGCTGTGAAAGCCAATACGTTCTTGCATTTATTTAGTTCTTTATTACAGAAACAAGAATTACATTTTATAAATGCATATAAAAATAATTTTTCGCCATAGCAAAGTTCCTATTTACTCAAAGAATAAAAATATTGATAAAAAAAAGACAACATTACTGTTTATTTTTTAATTATTTAATAAATAATAAAGAATGCGCATTATATAGAATTTCTTTCCATTTTGTATATGTTAATTTTTTATTATTGTTCTTTAGCTTTAATGAAACAAAAACTTCCAGCTTATTGATATTCGCTGAAATTTTGTGGATGAACGAGGAATTAAATGAAATTTTAAGTATAACTAGATGATGATGTTGGTGAGATATATCTCAATGGACTAGATTCTTGAAAGTGTTGATACGTTTTCGGCTATACTGAATGCTTAACCAGAGATTTTTTTTAACCAGTTTAGTTAATTTTTTTTTAATTAAAAATGCATAATGTATTAATTTTACTATTTTAGAATTCTTCATTGACAAATAGTTTGCAAAAATAAGGAGAGAAATTAACAATAACCATACTTTGTTAATACTATATTGCAGAAAAAGGAATTAAAATTTAAAAATAAAAATAATTTCTAACTGTAACGAAATTCCTATTTACGCAAGGAATACTAAATATAAGCGATGATGAATATTTAATTCATAGTAAGAAAAAAAAGAAGAAAAAGAGATGACACAAACGGCATTAGTAAATATTTACTTAAAAAGAAAATCCTTCATCTCCAGTAATAAGAAGCAAAATTAAATTACTTATTTGAATTTTTGAACATTAGCACATAGATTGTAACGATGATGAACTGATATTTTTCAATGGACTTGATTTATGAAAATACTGATTTGTTTTAATGCAATAACGAATTATAAAATCATTCATCCTATATCCAAATGTATACTATTTTTATCCAATCTGCGACTTATTTCAATTAAGTAATTAGGCTGTAATGGAGCATTATTTTAATTTAAAAGTGGAATAAATTAGTATTTTCTATGAACTTTAACACCATTGATTTCAGCTGAAAAGAAATGTTGATTCGCTGTACAGAGCTGCATAATCATTTCTTCAGATATTTTAGTCATAAATAACAATGCTTGAAGTTTTAAAATGTTTCTTTCATTTTGCACACACTCTTAAAACCGTAAATTTAATTCACAAAATGCTTACTGATAATTTACAAAAGATATTCATACGATATACGTGATATGAAAACTAAAAGAGCATTGAAATAGCCTTAGCGGATGGAGACGGCAAAGTTTCTATTCAGCACATGTGACGTCATAACCAATCAGGGATCGTTTTTGATTGCATCACTTACGGAAGCTTTTTGGGGCAATTTCAATGTTTAATAACTAAATAAATTAACATTTGCCGAAAGAAACAATCAGATTTTTGGTTTCAGGAGAGAATTTCCAATAAGTTAGGTATGAAAATAAGAAAAATTATGATATGCTGAAATTGTCCATCAGTAATTAAAAAAAATTGAAATTTAAAATAAAAATATTTTGAGTTATATTATTAAAATTTAAAATAGAGGAATGAACTTTAAAATGGAGATTATAATTGGTAGTTGTTGCCATTTTATAACACATTACATTCTTCCTAACATATTAATTATGCAAAGTAAACATTCTAAAACTATAGATTAAATATTTAACAAATATTTTTGTACTATAGATTAATCAATCTAAAGTTCCTAATACAACAAACACATTAATAAAATAAAATGGAATTAAGTTTTTTATGTATCTTTTGTCGCATTCACAATTTTACAGCTTGTTCAAAATTTCAATGTCACAACTGACATATTAATGACACGAAGGACTTTTTGCTCTATTTTTAACTTGCAAAACATTTTTTTTAACAACTGTAGTTAATAATTTTATTAATTCAAGATGCATAAAAGTGGTGTCACCCTCTCTATTACTCAGGAGAACATTTAATTTCTGTCATCTTTATGAATAAAAAAAAACGTAACAATTATAGCAAAAATATTTACAAGTATTTTTAATTGTGGCAAAATTTTTGAGGAATGAAACTCTAATGTGATGCATGAAAAGTATTCACCAAAATGCATTTAGATGCATTATGAACTCTGCTAAGTACCAAGCACTTTTCACCCCTTAACAATTGGTTAATTTTCAAGAAAACAGTCATAAAAATATGTATTCTTTTTCTTTTACATCTAGTTTAAAATAAACTGACATCTACAATTACCTTAAAAATATCCTGGTACTGCCATCTGGTGTAAAAAATGAGAAATAAAATGCTTTCAGGGCAAAAGAAATGAATTAGTTTTATTCTTATTTGCACATTTCTACTGAACACTCCAGCCCGGAAATTTCACGGGAGAGAGAAGGAAGGGGTTAAATTTCGGGTTACTGTTTTCTCAAAATTTGATCTGAAAAATCATATAAATCCCTATTTTAAAGGTATACATGAAAAGTATATATATTATGATGAGAAAAAAAAATTGTCTTGCAAAGCTCAAAATTATGAGTTTATTTTTTTTCTTAAAAAAAAAAATCATATCTTTTTCATGTGTACAAATTAATAATGCTGATTAAATAATTTAAAAGAACATTTGGCTAAAGCTGAGATAAAAAAATATATCACTGAAAAGTACTTTATGTAAAAGTACTATCAAATGTAAGTGCTTATAAAAGTAAAAGTACTTAAAAAATAAACCTGACGTAAAAAAAGAAATTTTCTTTAAAAAAAAATCAGTTTTTTTAAAAAATAAAACTGATATTAAATAATAAACGGCAATGCTTATTACAAAATAGTAAAATAGGAAGGTTATAAAGTGAATTACTCAGAAACTATGATTACCATAAGGAAGAGGATAGACAGAAAGGAAGAGGTGGTTCCACAACTTTCTGTGAAATTGCTGCAAGTGCCTCCATGAAATTATCCAAAAGTTGATTGGCAATATTATCCCTTTCTCTAAGCCATTTTATAGGATGTACCTCCTCTTCTTCATTAGTCCGCATGTGTGAATGTAAAAAAAATTATTAGTACAAAATTTTTTCTGTATAAGTCACAATAAATTCTAAAAAGAAATTTTACAATACACACTATTTTGAGAAAAGACACAAGCATAAAATTTAATATTAAGCACAAGCATAATTAGATTAATTCTTAACTTTTAAGCCAGTTTCAATAACAAAAACTGGTTTCCTTCTATGTGATTCATTAAGAAAGGTGCTAGCTTATGGTGCTAGTCACCAAGCTTATGGTGCTAGTCACAGTATAACCCTTTCTTACTTTCAGGGTGGAAGCATCAAACTAACAATTAAAGAATAGTGTGTGAAAAAGAATTTAGACAAAATCTGTGACTAACAAATTTAAATAACAATAAAACAACAAATAGAATCAATTAAGAAATTGAAAATAAATTTAGTTTCTGTCAAATATAGAAATACACATTTCACTACACTCATATCCATAAATTAAGAATAATGCCAGCTCAGGCAATATATGTCACCTCAAGATATTTTTAAAAAAACAAAAAATCTTTCATTTCTGCTACAATATTTGAATTCGAGAAAGATATTTATCTGCAAGTTGTATGAGAAAATTATAAAGAACTAATTTAAGTGCTGCTGTTACCATTCTATAAATACATATAAATTAACAGAAAGTGCAAAAAATTTTAAATGAAGTAAAATTTTTTAATTTAACGAGAATAAGGAGTAAAAGATTTCGTTTACCATCAGACTTTGTTTGTTTACATTTTGCTGAAATGTGCAGCTAACTATACAGTTACAGTTAATTTGGGACATTGTAGCATTCCATTGAAAAAGCTTTATGATTTAATTGGGCATAATACGATAAATGCACAACGACTTCAACTATTAGTGATCAAAATGGGCTACAGGTGGCGTAGAGCAGAACTCTTTACCAATGGCAATACTTAACATACTTTCACCGTTAGCGTGTGGAAAGTCATTGAAAAGGAAAGAACGTTAGTTTCTGTCTTGATTTTTAAGTAGATTAAAATCTTTTAAGTTAGATAACTATATGCAATTCGCGATCGCAACGCTTGAGTACGTCCTCTAGCGGGAGCCTGAAAATATCCGCATGAGTTCCATCCTAACCATTGGCAAAGACGTTCGCCATTTTCTTAGCAGCAAATAAGAAGCAAAATTTCCTTAAGGAAAAGGCAGAAGAACTTGGGAAAACTAACCAGAACATACCAAACATTGAAGCAGAACTCGCCAAGCATTTGAAGAACAATTTCTCAATAATTGTTACCTTTCTATTATCAACAAACTTGCAACTTTGGGATCGCATACTGTTACAGATGTGTGTACTATGATAAAATACATTTTTTTGGTCTTCAATTCATTGCAAATTATAGAGAAGACAACATTGCTTTCTTCATTCCAATGGGTAAATGTGAATTCAGAACATACAGAACTGTAATAGTTATAGAATATTCTTCTTCTTTATGGAATACTATATATTTCTGTATCTATATAATTCGGAAAGCAACAATAAAGAATTATCCGAATTACGTGAAATAGTATCATTGGTGCTGATTATCAGTAAATTTTTTATCGCTTTCTTGGTAAGTATTTTTAGTTTTGAAAGAATAATTTAAACTAGAATTCAGCTATTCTGTTTCTCAAGCTACATATTGAAATTCATAGCGAGATCTTACAATTATAAAATTTTGCTGTGTGGTATGTTATCTAAAAGTAATGAAGGAATAATCTATGCATATATTATTTGAAAATAATATTTTCAAACGAAGAACTTATCATTTTGGAATTCTCCGGATATATAAATCAGGTAAGTGTTATGATTTTCCTAATAAAAAATTTACGTTTAAGAATATTTTTTTCTTATTTGATGATAATTTTCTATAGAATGGTATACGCTACGCCCAATTCTGTATAAAAACAACAGAAAAAAACATGAAAGTTTTTAATTTTAATGTGAGAAATTTTAGAATTGTTTTTTTTTGTAAGCATTCTTTNTCTTTTTTTTTTTTTTTTATCGTAAGCATTCCTTATTTTACGTTTTTTATTTTCTAAATAATAATTTTTATTAAAACTTAAAATGTTTTGATAAAATTTGTAGTCAAAAAACCTCTTTTACAAAATTAAATTATATACAATTATGAGGCTTATGTATACTTCTTGCTTATTTTAATGTTTGAAGTAATATGATTCTTAAAACTATGGAATGTAAAGATTAAATAGGCCTTTCATGTTATGTCATTAAATTTAGTAAAACTATTTCTCAAGCATTAGGTTTTAATTCTTATAAGAAGATACATATTTTTTTCTGTTTGTGTACAAAATATTTTTTCAAAGTGTTTTAGATGTTCCTTCTCTAAAAAAAAAGAGATACCATTTTGTTTTAGTTTGCACAAGAAAGAATATCGTACATTTTTCTTTTTTAAATTTAATAAGCCACAATAAAGAAGGAACGTTACAATGCTTTACGCTACATTAAAGACGTCTCCCGAGTAACTGTTCATATAGAAATCGCAGGTATTCGTCTCATACAGCAACGCCCCCTATAGTTCGTTGCGATCGCGAATTGAAAACTACATTAAACAAAGTTCTAGAGGAAAGCATCTTGTAAATTTCTAAAAATGTTTTAAACAATTAAATATGAAAAATATTAAAAAAAGAAAAATATCGTAGTACATTCCTACACAACTGAAAAATAGATGAAAGGAAAGGAGGAAGGACCAAAGGCACAGAACTGGTCTTCTCCCCCAGATGGCGTCGAACGTTGTGATAGCCTATTCTTGCTAAAGAGAGGGTTCCATTCATAAAAACCGGTTACTTCCCTCAGAAACGGGTTTTCACTGGGAAAAACATCTTATATGTTTACTTTGAGGAATATTACTGTTATGAAAATTTTACAGCCTAAGATTATAATGAGGTATTATCAGACGAAAAGAAAAAAGATGCTGAATTCAGTTGTGTGACATTAGGCTATTAAGTTTTTGCCTTCGCTTTTTAATAAAACGCAATCTAATGATTAAAACATTTAAATTTATAATATGTTGGTAAGATGTCCATAGTTTATTTTTGTTTTTTCCGCAATGGAATCAATTTTTAGCTATTTCGCAGATTTTGAAACTGTCCATAGATGGCATTGTTTTTGGATGAAACTAATCTTTAAATTCCATTCTTACTGAATGAGAAAAAGTCGTGAATGCTGCTGCTGTTGTAGTTCATTTACTTCGCACTAGAGTTGCAAAATGGGCAATTGGCGACTGTCTGGGAAACATTCCTGAGGAGGAGCCGGAGACATGCCATCACAATTTTGACCCTCTGCAGAGTAGATGGCACCCCCGCTTCGGTAGCCCGACGACCTGCACGCGAAGTAGAGCACTTTACAGTAGAACAGTTTAACGAGGACCAATAGAGCATACCATCGGTCCCTACATAGACTAATCCAAGTGGTTACCCACCCGCCAGTGTGGGTCTGTAGCCAGTGATGCGGTGATCTGCTGGGAACCCTGTCTTAACTATCAGTCCACTGCGGGACAAATCGTGAATGCGAATTCGGTTATATGAATGAAAGCCTGATTGTCAAGTTTCTCATAGGAAAATATCTATTTTCCAAACAAATTCTCATTCGAAACTCCGAATGAACGATACGAATTTTTCGCACGCATTGTAAACGATCCTGAAAAGTACACGAAAGCAAATTAAGTTTTTCGACCACGCCACAGTACCTTTCGAAATCATTTTAAGAATCACTCACACACATTCACATTGCTTGATATTTTTCTGAATGCAGAAAAAAGCAAGGGTAGTTAAAATGCTCCTTTAAGCTTCAGTTAAACTCTAGATAATGATTAAAAAAAGGGGGAAATAATTAAAGCTCCTATTGGCGATCGAAGTGGGCTTCAGGTGGCGTAGAGCAGAACTCTTTACCTATTTCAACACTTTGCCAACTTTCACCATTAAAGTGTAGAGAGTCAAAAAAGAAGGAAGTTTTTTAGTTTTTGTCTTGATTTTCAAAAAAATTAAAAACTTTTAATTGATAGGTACTTTATTTACGACGCACTAGAGCTGCGCAATGCACGTTGTCATCACAAATGCAGTTTACAGTTGCAATGTCATGATTTAAAGTTAGTCTATAAACCTGATAAAGAAATATACTTAACTGATAAATTGCCTAGAGCACTTTTACTTAAAGTCCGATTGCCTACCCTCAAGGAAGATTCTTTAGTAATTTCTGNTGGAAAACATTTGCTGATACATAATTAATTAGGAGTGGGAGTTTATTATCTTCAGCAAGATTAGGCACCTTTGACAAAAAGTTTTCGAAAGTTTTCTTCCAATGTAGCCACTTATTTTCAGCGTTAGCACACGTGGGGTCGAAGTCGAAACGTTCCGGTTTCAGAAAATTTTCCATGACGATGAATACCAGTACTCACATTTATCAGAATATAATTTTGCTAATTAAATTGTTGTGATAATCAATTTAGGCAGATATAATAACTTAATAAAGCTTTAATTAGCAAAATTAGGCTAGCCGCTGAGGAATACGTACTTATAAACATAAATAGTAAAACAATTGAAAATCAAGCACAGTTACAGTTAAAACAAGATGTTAATAAATATCACCACAATTACATTATAATTTATTATTATACAAAATTTATTGAGATACAAATAATTAATTTTTTACAAACCTGTGTGGTGATACCTGCTGTAAAATCGGTTTTTGTAAGGCATGAAATTCCTCTAGAAGTAATAAGTGATAAAGGTCCATCTTTCAATTCTCGCGAGTTTGAGAGTTTTGCGAAAAACTGTAAATTTAGACTTTTCAGAGTTAGTGCAAGATATCCTAAATTGAATGGACAGGTAGACAAGTTCATTCAGACGGTTAAATAAATAATCAGAGAGACTCTAGCTGATCCCTAAAGATCCCTACTTAGCTCTATTGATGGTGAAATGCCAATTCTAAGGGCATCAAACTTTCCAGGTGAACTGTTAATGAATATAAAGCTAACTACTGTTTTGCCAATTTCAGTAAATCCCCAAGATTCAGACAAGAATAATCATTTAAAGTACCAAAATAAGCAGAGATGGAAACGAATAAAATCTAAATCGCCAACTAAGTTTTTGCCTGAACTTCACGTTGGAAGTACAGTGTTTGTCTAGAACAAGTCTTCTACAGGACCTGAAGATGATATCGTTGATTTGATATCGAAGTCCAATTCTCAAACTGGGGAAGATAACCAGTTTCATGTTTCTAATCTTCCAAACTCAGAACCTCTTGTTCTAGGTGCAAACAACAGCAATGAAGAGACGACTAAAAGTCCAGAACTGCCACTTTATAAAACTATATACTAGTTAGACGACCGGGTTGGTATAATGTTTCAAGGTTTTGATTACTATGCTTGTTGTTTTTTTAAGGATCATGTAGTGTATGTGAAAAGTCTTCTATTTTGTATTATTCCGCCAACTACTATGCATGATTTGCATCATTG